ATACTTAATATTTTTTATATAGATTTAGGTCCGTTTATTTTAATATGTTTCTTTTAATAAATACCATTAACCCCTGTTTATTTTAAATATAAAATATTAATGCCGATTTATTTTAAATATAAATTATAAATCCCATCTATTTTAAATGCAATTTAGTGTATTGGGGCAGCAGTTTAAACAACTGACCTCATAGTCTCTAATAACCCAACAACCACACAACTAAATCCTCTACAAAAAACCAATGTAGTGTATCAATTTACTTGCCTGTTCAGAGATTGTATCTTTGATACTAATAATAAACCCACTACAGACATTGGTTTTACTACAACCACATTCTCCCATAGACTTACCTGTCACCTTTCTGATCTTAGTTTCATTAAACAACATTTCTTAGAAAAATATAGCCATGTCCATTAGACAGATATTAGTTGATAACACAATAATACTCACACATACACACAGTCAAAAGAACTTTCAGATATTGGAGACTATCTACATTAAAATGAAGCAACCCACACTCAACAAAATTACATTTCAAACTTGTCACAACATATTACTTTGTATCTAGGCATTGGATCTATTGTAATACTTCGGTTTATTGCGTGGTATGACGTCATAGAACCGCATCTTAAACTTACGATCTGCGTCTGCTACTCCGCGACAGTTATCGTCGCATAGCAATTAATAACAATAATGTCAAAATAATGTCAAAATAATTAATAATATTTAATAATGTCAAAATAACAAAATATCATCTTTGACGGTGGATATCTTTATTTCATGCCTGTATAAACACTCTGAGGATGGCACATGTGAGTCGAAAGCTTAGGACCAACTTAATAAAAAAAATATCGAAATGTTGGACAAGTTTTGTCTTTATTTTCACCCGAAATTAAAGCAAACATTTGAACATTAGACCGGCTCATGATCAGACATAAGAGACATTCATTGTCTCTTATATTCAATAATATATGTTTGAACACACACACACACATATATATATATATGTATATATATATTTGTATGTTAAATAAGACCGCGCAATACCCATGTAATACATGGACTTCGCCAGCATTGCGTTAACCAGATATTTTCTATTAAAATTTAAATTATGCAACGTTCAGTCTGTATCCAGCACCTGAAGATTGCGTTGTGCGTGAAACTCCGAGTCGTGCTACCGGTCAGGGATAATATATATAGCTATTAATATATACTTAATAGCTTTTTCGTATTACACCGAGCACTATTTTTACCAAAACCAGTACTCGATGGGCGATAACTATATATATATATATATATATATATATATATATATATATATATATATATATACACGTTTCATTAAATAATATAGACAAGTGTTGTCTATTTATTTTATGTAAACTCTTTTCATAACGTCTAATAAGTTTAATAACATTATAATTGAATGAAGAAAACAATTCACAATATTGATCCATATTTTTTTTTAATACAATCTAAGCTTTCGGCTTACATAAGCCATTATCAAAGATGTCAATTACAACATATTAAGCAATATACGGACAAGACAGTGATGACAGTCTGTGAATGTTTACATAGATGATCTCTAAGCAACGATAAACACGTGCATATAAGACGCTAGAAGCGAAAATCGCACCGCATCTCATGACGTCACACATGACCACGCGAGAATGAATTGGAGAAGTATGAAGTATGGAAAGCCGTTGGCACAAACCAATGGCCTCCGTCACCAACTACAGACATTTAAGGATATTTGTAGAGATTCCATAGTTGATTTTGTTTAGGTTGTGTTTCAACTGTTTAATGTATAATGCTTCAAGGATTTTTAGTTTTTGTCTATTGTTTTCATGTCGAAGTATAATTGTGTTTTCGACAAGTATTTTACGAAATTGTGTGTGCGGGCAGGCATGTTGTTTTAAATGCCTAAAAATGTTAGAGTTTTCATTCAAATGTAGTGTCAAGCGTCGTGAAAGCGAGTTTGTGGTGTGACCAACATAAACATTATTTAAATCGTTGGAGATACAATCTCCCAAAGGGCACTTGAATTTATAAACTATGTTGTTTTTTTTGCAAATCGCTAACCGGGGAAGAAGAATCATTGCGAAGAATTAAGTTGGATATACTAGATTTAGTGTAGTATATGATTAATTTAATTTTTTTGCTAGGATCTGTATATATACACGTAGCTATTTTGGTGAATTTGGCCATATTGTACTGGCAAATATTACGTGTGGTTCACTTCAAATATCAAAAGACAAAATCTGATGAGTCCCCCTCTCAAGACTATTTGATACAATTGCCAACATTTTTGTCATGATTTGTTTATTTCCATTTTATTTTCTAATTGATCTTGTTTTTTTGTTTGCTGTCCTTTAATTATGGGAGAGGGAAAAACTTTAACGAAGACCAATCTGTTCAGGTAGGAATTTGGTTAAACCACCCTGCCATGGAAATGAAGGGTTGGCCAAAAGCGCCTGGTCTTTAAATTCAATTGTCTCTT